CTTTTGCTCACGAGAAAGCGAAAAAACGAGATTTTGGCTGGATTTTCGTTTTTTGGTTTAGGGTAGGAAAACGGATAAACGACTTTAAATTTCATTTTACACATGTAGGCGGTGCTGAAACGGCCACTTTCCTCTAATTGGTTAACCAAATCTGCGCTTGTGTCGTCACCCTCAAAATAAAAGCCTTACACGCAGGCTTTTAATTATTATTATTTAATTATATATATAAACAAAGTTTACATATTCTATCATTTGAACCACACACAGTTAGCAGGCTTACATTCATTGCGTATGTATAAATTAAATAAAAACGTAAATCAGCAGTATTCTTAGACATTTGTCATTAAAATAAGGTCATAGTTCACTGCCAAGCTTCTTGCTGCTGTGCACCTGATGCTGAGCAAAGAAAGTCATTTCCGAGCAGCACCTGGTTTACATGATTGTTTCAGAGCTATTGTAGGCCTAAATAATAGCCTACTCTGTATAAAATAATAATTTATTATTATTATTATTATTATTATTATTATTATTATTATTATTATTATTAGGCCTATTATTATTAGTATTGTTATTATTATTATTTACTTAGTTATTCAATGGTTGTAAGAACACATTGGACCCTGCATGGGGCTATAATAAATGGTACCATTTGTTTCTATTGGATTTTCTCATATTTTAATTTAATATATGCCTTTAGCCTATTGTAAATATTTATTTAATAATTAATACTTTATTGCAACTGCAAAGTAGGCCTGTCTTATTATTATTATTTTTTGTTATTATTTTGTCGTTGTTGTTGTTATTATTATTGTAGCAGGGACATAGCCACAGGTGTGGCAGAGTGTGCTGGTGCCACCCAAAGTGGCATCTTGCACCTGAAAATAGATGCCTTCGCGCTCAAACGCGCGCAAAAAACTTGCACAGGCAAAAGTAATGATGAATGTGTTGAAGGAAAAAAAAACATTCTAATTATTTGTTAATAAAATAGTGCAACATTATTCTCAGTCAGTGTAGGCTAAAAAAAATAAGATCGCCAGCATTTCAAGGGTGGTTTTATTTTTAGTTCATTGCTGTCACGCGCTATATTTCACTAAGGCTGCATGAGACTGCGCATCTTGCTTATTTTCTCTATTTTACATACAGAACATATCATACAGTCCAGGTTCTACCGTTCTAGTGAGTGTGGGGCATTGCTTTACAGTGGTAAAGTGGATTATTTCTTGGCAAATTCATAATGATTCACTTTGTTTAGTAATAAATTTCATAGTTATAAAATAACTACATTTCAAGAATATGTTAACACTTTCAACTATTTAGGATTATTTATTGCATCAAAAGTAATTTCAAAGTAACATTAAATGTACGTATAAACTGCTTAATTTGTGTGTGTAAACACCTAAGATGCAAAAAGCTTATTTAGACCAGAATAGGCCTACTAAACGCAACGGTCAATGTATGTAAACTTATGACCTAAAATGTCTTAAATGACTAAATTTAAGTCTTTTTAAGTTTTTAAATAATTTAAGTTTAACATAAATGATTTAAACTTTAAACTTCAAATTCACAGAGTATGACAAATAAATTGTTTATTAAATGGAGGTCAGGTGTCTATCTTAATTATAATTATTAAATATTATGACACTATAATTCAGTGGTGTATTGGAGAGTACGCACCTTTTAATTAATTAATTTTAAATAAGTGGTTTATCCTAAATAAAATGCAATGGGATCGGTGTGCAATGAATATTTTGAAAACGCCTGGTTCAGACTAGACGAGCTAGTCTGCGCTGCGCTAATAACTTGGCATTTGCTCTTTTCGGTGCTGCCAGATGCATTTATAGTGCATAAAAAATAAAATTCGGTAATTCGGTAAAGCGCGCGATGCGCGCAGAAATAAGCGCACTATATGCATTTGTCGAATTAAGTTCTCTTTTTCTTTAATCAAGACTTTTCCATTCGAGGAATTACAGTTATTAATAGCTTAGTCCTTATAAACGATCAGTTTATAAAATACACAATTTACGGATCAAGCCTAATGAAGAATAAGAATATGCAACGCATTATGATCCTTGAATGATCAGAGCGCATTTATATAAACTATATATTTTATATAATCCATAAATATTAAAAAAACATTATACATTTAAAGTAATGGAACATTATATGTTATAAAATCTAAACTATTATTTAGGCTACAGGCTAAATAAAGGCGCCTTTTCGGGGCTGTTCAGCGCGTGCGTCAAAGAAAAGACATGACACAATCTCTATAAAAACTTGTTTATTTACAATATCTAAAGGGATATAAAACATCTAACATGCATCTCCATTCTTAACGAGTTTCTGTGTTCTGCATCCTTCACAGACCGAGGTCTCATTCCGAGGTAATCTGTAAATATTCTCATTTGGTTCTGGCACATTCTTGATTAAAGGTGAAACTGACCGGCGCAACGGATGATTTGTCATCCAGGGTGACTACAGTTATAATACAGGTTATGGAACTATTTCACTTTAATTTCATATTATTATTTTATTAAACAAACAAACCAGTTTTTGTTTTGGCTCTGCATGCAGCCTATTGGATCTTTGAAGCATTGCACTTCAAATGTTATTCTTCCTTTTTTTTATTGTATTTTTAATATTTTTAATTATACAACACAAAATTGGTTCTAAACAGATACATTTTCCTATAGGCTATGATGAAGTGTATATTTTTGTTCACACAGGTCCTATACAAAACTGTGTGGATGGATGATTTGTTTCTCCGTGAAAATCACTCATTTAATAAGCAAAACAGGCCAAAATGTTGTTTAGCTTGCGTCAAACTGAATGGACAATTTACAAACATATTGAATACAAAGGCTGGTTATTTTATGCAATGAGGGACAATAGGCCTATTACAAATTAAAGAAAATTATTTGCATATTAAAACGAAAATATATAATACAACAACAGATCCTACCTCTAAGAAATGACTTTAGATAATGTAAATAAGCATCAAGTTTTTTTTTGAGATTGTGTGTCTAATTCAGTAGTGTAGTGCGTTCGCGTGGGTTTCCTCCGGGTGCTCCGGTTTTCCCCACAGTCCAAAGACATGCAGTACAGGTGAATTGGGTAGGCTAAATTGTCCGTACTGTATAAGTGTGTGTGTGTATGTGTGGATGTTTCCCAGAGATGGGTTGTGGCTGGAAGGGCATCCGCTGGGTAAAAACTTGCTAAATAAGTTGGAGGTTCATTCCGCTGTGGCGACCCCAGATTAATAAAGGGACTAAGCCGACAAGAAAATAAATGAATAATGTGCAATACTAATTTAAAATACGTATCACTAACCTTATATGTGAAATAGCAGGGCCCGCTGTAGCACTTTCTCAAGAAGATCAATTGTCAAATTATTAGCGCAACGCACATGTAGCGAGCTCATCTGTTTGTCGGAACTACTAGACACAATTTTTTTTATCAACTATAATGTGTTTAATTAGTTAATTTGAAATTTATTTCATTATTCCAGCAATAATTGTTGAGTGAAAGAATGCGCTAGAAATATGCATTGCGGCTCCCTTTATTGTACAGGCTTATTGCACTTAAACTTTTTTTAGGTTCGGCTCTCGAATTAGTAAGGTTATGTGTAAATGTTATTTAAAATATTTAAAGCCTGCCATCTAGCCTACAATAACAGCAAATTTAATAATAAAAAAAATAATAAGACAGGCCTACTTTGGCGTTGCAATAAAATAGTATTAATTATCAAATAAATAATTACAATATAAATAGGAAGAAATAAATGAAAACAAATGGTACCCTTTGTTTTTATAGCAGGGCCCAAAGTGTTCTTATTCTGGTTCTGCTAACAACTATTAAAAAGAAAAAAAAAAACACACCAAACAATAAAAACACTAGTAACTGATAATAATAATAATAATAATAATAATAATAATAATAATAATAATAATTAATAATAATAATAATAATAATAATAATAATAATTATTATTATTATTATTATTATTATTATTATTATTATTATAAAGCCCTTGCTCTGAAACAATCATGCAAACCAGGTGCTCCTCGGAAATGGCTATCTTTGCTCTGCATCAGGTGCACAGCAGCAAGAAGCTTGGCAGTGAACTATGACCTTATTTTAATGACAAATGTCTAAGAATACTGCTTTACGTTTTTATTTAATTCATACATACGCAATGAATGTAAGCCTGCTAACTGTGTGTGGTTCAAATGATAGAATATGTAAACTTAGTTAATATATAATTAAATAATAATAATTAAAAGCCTGCGTGTAAGGCTTTTATTTTGAGAGTGACGTCACAAGCGCAGATTTGGTTGACCAATTAGAGGAAAGTGGGCGTTTCAGCACCGCCTACATGTGTAAAATGAATTTTAAAGTCGTTTATCCGTTTTTCTACCCTAAACCAAAAAACGAAAATCCAGCCAAAATCTCGTTTTTTCGTTTTCTCGTGAGCAAAAGAAAAACGTAAAAACGGCCGTTTTCTCCATTTCCTTTATTCCGTTTGAAAATGGAAAACAAATGAAAAAAACGTACACGGACCCTGTAGGCAGCTTATCAAGGTTAGCTATTTTAAGAAAAATATAACAATCATCAATATTTAATTTAACTTTTTAGTTATATCATCTTTTTAAGACTGATTATGTAGGCTTGATTTATTTAATGCTATCAACCTTACGCAACAATAAAACTAACGTTATTATTAACTTGCTTGCTGCAAACGTATGCACAGGTAAAAAAGACTCGGTCAATTAATTCAAAAAATGTTTAATACCAACAACTAATTATAATTAATTACGACACAAAGCTTGAGATGTGGAAATTTTAATTTATTTAAAAAAACTATTGCATTCTGTTAACATCAAGCGTCTGAAAACGTAAATAAAACGCTCGTACGTTGACCGTTAAAGCAGCAAATAACGCTATTGAGACACAACTATGAATGTAATATTTAACCACGAACGGTCTGCTTGTGAGTTTCTTACCTGTACTCTCACTCTGAAGACTTGGGAAAACGTTTTTGTCGAAAAGCCTGATCTCCTTGACATTTTTTTCCTTCTCCAGCAAAACCCTCAACAGGTGCTGCCCCAGAAAACCGCATCCTCCAGTTATGACATAAGTTAACTTCGACTTGTTGTTGTTGGACATTCTTTCTCCGTTGAATCCTCCTCGTTATTGACTGAAATGTTTGGTCCGTCAGCGTTTAGCGACGTCAATGACTTGGTTCACTCTGCAAATGTAAGAGAAAACAACCTGAGATCCAAATTTCAGCTAATTTAACAGCTCAGCCCACCGAGACGTGGGGGCGTTCCTCTGTCTATCTGCTGGATCCAATACGGGTAATTCCTGACGCGTCCAGTAAGGGGGGCAAATAATGTCATTTTAATTTCGTTTTTTTTAATGAATTCAATTGTAAACAATAAATTAAAATATTATATAGAAATAGTTATTATACACTAATGATATTTTATATTACTAAAGGTACAATATGTAGGTAAAGATGAAAAATTAGACGTTTATCTGATACATATCTGATTTTTGTTACATATCCTACAGAAGACAAAAGAATTTCAGTTGAGTTTATTGTCATATAGTTTTGAATTTATATATCCAGCTAGATCAAAGAGTTTATAAAATAGATTTTTTCTTTTTTTAGACATATAAAAATATCCACATTTGTGCAGCTGTGTCTGTAATGTGCTGTAGATCAAAAACATTTAGCAATTTTATGAATAAATCCGTTTAAATATCGCTGAACACATCAAAAAATAATTCTGACTTCAACTGTTTTAAACTAGATTTTGTAACTCTAATAGTTGAGAAAAATAACAAATAGCCTATGCAGATAATTTTGCATTCATTTGAAGCGTTACACATGTACATATTTTCATATTTACACCAGTCTCAGATAACAACTTACTCTAAGCCATTATCTGTCAATTCACAAAGTGTGTGAGTAGTTAAAAATTAATATACTGATTATAACTCTGATCAAAGTCAAAATCTCCTTTCAAGGACAGTGTAATATGGCCTATATCAAACACATTTTAACCAGTTAAAACCTCTGGATCTTGCTCTGATTTGGACCAGTGGTTAAAACATGGCGTGACTGATAACTGATAGGAAAAAAACATGTTAGTGTTTAAACAGTTTAAATACATCAACCATCTAGTACATAGGAATAACATCTGCTTCTTATTTGTATAATAATCTTCAACGCTGCATAGCAACTATACATGACAGGAAATTTAAATGAGAATTTGTGAAACAAATCTGTTAACGGCTGGGGTGCATTACGAAATGGGTTACATCATCAGTCAACAGCTCACAACTTGACTTAAGAGGTTAAACAATGAAAAGAAGCCTCCTTAACCACCTAATGGGCTGTGAGAGATGTTTCATCTTTAAAAGAAAAAGAAATGACAGGGGCCAGTAAAAAAAAAGATGATCCCCAAAAAGAATACTATACTCAACAAAATAACCAGAATCTCTCTCTTTTTACAAAAAAAAAATATTAAGCTTAAACATTATAGAGTTGTGCATTTACATCAGTAACTCCAGCCCAAATCTACAAAAAATAAATGAAGACAAAGTTTGCAAATGGCACTCACTCTCAGGCCAATAATTAGCTATTGCCTCATTGAATGTGGAGAAAAGAGGCTGCTCATCCAACTAAATCAGGCTAAATGATGGCCATTGGTCAGGACTCTTGATGAAGACTGAAGAATAAAACCTTGTCAGAGAACACAATGTAGAGCACAGGAGAAAAACATTACACATACAGGCATAGACAACAGATATCAGGGTTTAATGTGTCTTTTCACATAACTCTGTGGAACATGATGTTATTTTGATTACCACAGGGCGCTGTAATTGGATTGAGAAATACTAAATAATAGTGTCAGCTAAAACCCATATCAATTTATGATTTCACCGTGTGATCCTGCCAAGGGGAGAAGTATCGTTTACAAAATATACGCATTCAACAATTATTTGATTCTACTTTCCCCTTCTAGAGTTTTCCATATTCTTTCTCATATCTTGTACATGCAGTAGAAATCCCAGCAGGTGCCTCTTTATCTCAAATGTAACAAAGCTTAATGGATCACATTTTCATCGGGTATGGCTTACCTTTATTTTCAAAGAAGCTTAAAGGGACAGTTCACCCAAAACTAAAACTTCTGTCCTCATTTACTCACCCTTCACTTGTCACAAACCAGTTTCTTTCTTCAGTTGATGACACAAAAGAAGTTATTCCATCGACTTCCATAGCATTTGTTCCATAGTAAGTTTCTAACATTTTTCTAAATATCTGCTTTTGTGTACAAAAGAAAAAAGAAAACTGATAAATGTTTGGAAACACTTAAGGGGAAGTAAATGGTGAGTAAATTAGAATTTTGGATGAACCATTTCTTTAACAACCTAACTGTGAGACACTTTGGGCTCTATTTGAATGATCTAGGCGCAAAGTCTAAAGATCATGGCGCAAAAAGCATTAAGGGCATGTCGAAATCCACTTTTGCTATTTTAAGGATGGAAAAATGCAGTATGCACTGCGGTGCATGGTCTAACAGGGTTGTGCTTATTCTCTTAATGAGTTATGGGTGTATTTTGAGCATAGCATGCAGTAAACCAATTAGCAACCAACCAATCTTTACTTTCTTTTTGTCTTTCTTTCGTGGATTAAGGAAACGGTGTTGTACGCACTCCACTGAAGACATCCATTAGTCTACATATTTAATTACATTTGTAAGCGCAAAGATTTGTTTCAATACTATTTATGAATTCAGTTCTAATTACTAGCAAATGAATAAATGAACAATAATAATGAAGTATGAATAATGAGTTATATCAACATACGCGTCCTATGCCTGATATGGTCCAAAACCTGACAGGTGGACAAATCTAAGCTTGCTTATAACAAATGCATATAATAAATAATAATAACGATAATAACATTATACAAAAACAAATTGTCATGAATAAACTGAAAAAAGCAGCCCGAGATGGAGACATTTGAGATATTTTTGTGGAAAATAATAATTCTTGTAATATTTTAAATCTTAATTTTTTTAAATATGTAAAGATATGTGGTATTGCTGTACATCTTGTGTGTATTAAGCAATGTGTACAACTAACAGGTTCTGTGCTGGACTTTAGACATGTTTTCAGCTGGTCAAAATAGCAACACACCGACAATGCACAGTAACACACCTCCTTTGTAGACCGGCACACCCATGAGTCCCCAAAGCAGCACAAATGAATTTGCTATTTGAACAACGTGATGCAAAATGAGAAAATTAGGGTTGTGTTTGAAAATGACACATTGCACCAAACACGTCTGCGCCTTATTGCAGCGGGTGTATGATAGGGCCCTAAGTCTTTAAAAAAAAAAAAAGGACCAGTTAAAAAATAAAAGTTAAAACCAGTTTAAAAAAAATAGGGCAAAAGCTTTAAAATCCTTTTCAACATAAGTGTACATTTGAGCTGAAAAGCCAGGACGCGTTAAACAAAAATAAAGATAAAGTGTCTGGTTGGTTTAATGACATTAATTGTAAAAGACACAAAACTTCACTTACATATTCGGATATTGCTTGCAAAAACACCTGTTAGCAATCAGAAGAAACATAAGAGACAACACAGGCACCTTCGAAAGAGAGCTTGAAGAGGACAAGGACGACGTGCTGAAGTGGGTCAACTTTCTGCTGAGCATTAAAGAAAAAATGGTCTAGATGACACTTCTAACCAACTATACAATCGGAAACTGGGGGAAGATTGAGAGTGTTATCTTCAGATAATTTTTGTTTTTTGCCAGCTAGGAGCTATGGCCTTGTAGATCAAGACCCCTGGGAGACTGCCCAAATGCTGATTCGCTTTTAATCAATTGTATCACCCTACAAAGTAATTACCAAGCTGTAGAGAACAAAAAGAAGTTTCTACTTTGTATTAACAGATACTCAAATATATTAAACTCAAGTATATCAAACATAAAATATTGCTATGTATTTATTCAAACGGATTTCTTCTCGTTATCAGAACATTTTGAGATATATTTAATTATATCAAACTTTTGATGTAGTCTAATATTGATAGCTTAAAACATTAAAGACACACCTGGATTCAAAGGCTTGAATACTGTATAAAAGGTTGGGACATACAAACCAGCAGCCCTCTTAAACAGGCTGTAAACTGTAAGTCTTAGGCCCTTTATTCTCAGTGGATTTTGTATTTGCCATGTTTTTGTTTTATTGATCGTTTTCACTGAATTTAATTTATTAATCAAAGTGTATTTTTAATAATTGTCTTCCTGGAGTGGACATTGACTTCATTTGCAGAACCCATATAGATGCCTTGTGGTACGGTATGAATCTAATTATTCCTTGAAAGACATCACAACAGATGGTTCTAAACAAAACTATGAAATATAGTGAAGAGAGGATCCTATTTAATTATGGTATTAAATGACAGCTTCCAGCATAAGTATCTTGGATAATTTGATGTCTAGTTTAAGCTTGCCAGATTATCAGAGCAGCTAAAACATTTTTTAAATGGTAATGGCTGTTTTTTTTTTTTTTGTCTGTAATTATTTAAGAAACTGTTACAGATAGAAGGTGTTTACAGTCAGAAAGTGTTACAGCTCACACACCACAAAGCATTACTGCTGAAAATCAAATTTTGAAAATTGGTTAAATTTGCCAATAACCACAGTGACGACCCAAAATGCTAATATGAGAGTAAAATTGTGCTTTTCAGACCTGGTGGTCATCAAAAGTTCATCAAAGGACCCCTCTAGATACTGAGTTCAAGCATCAGTTCACTGAAAAGTCTTGCAATAAAAACATGGCATCTTTTGCCATAGTGTGTTTGACCCAAAACTCAGTTTACTGCATAATGGTGAGATCAGATCTCTGTGTGGAGCACTGGCTACCTCACAGAATATAATTGTGTAAACATAATAGGGAAAGTTACCTGACTGAAAACATTTTTTGGGCTGGCGATTTAATTATAGATGCACATTGGTTGCATTATGCTATCCCTTGGAAACTTCATTGATTTTTCTTAAGGTTAGTCCATTAATTAATTAGTGGTTGCCACAGAGGGATGAACCGCCAACTTATCCAGCATGTTTTACACTGCAGATGCCAATCCAGCTGCAACCCAGAACTGGGAAATACCTTGGATTTCTCCTCTTTAATGAAATAAGGTCGAATGTCATGCGGCTCTAAATCAGGTTACAAAAACTGCCTTCATTACTGAATTTGTAAGCTAGTTTAGGTTATACACAAATAAAATAAGCATAAAAACCCACTGGAATGTTCAATCCCTAAAAACAATTCGACTTCGGAAGATAATCAGCCTGTCAAATGTTTAGCAACCATAAAGTAAAAACACATAACTAAAACTAAACCTATATTAAAAACAAACTTTGAAGATGCGTGATTAAACGATGCTAGCAGGTTTAACGACATCCTTACATGTCACTCAAGTCATTTTCTTACTAGTTAGCTATTTCTGTCTTAATTAACCATAACTAGGCTAGCATGTTTACATCTTACATCACAGCGCGGTTCATAGCTGTTCCGACCTGTCAGCGGCTTCACAGCATCCCGATCCAAACACCTTCGTCACTCAACGGTGTTCTAGAAAACACCCCAAGGACAAAGCCGACCGTTATAATGATGTACAGCGCGTTACAGGTACAGAACATGCTGATCAGCGTTAACCATAGAGAGGTGGCATGACTCCCACACAAACACGATTTTTGTCAAATCCAGGGGGATGAACGAATGTATTGTGCATGACATTTCAACATTATATGTAAAATCCACTCTAATTTCTAGTTTCCACTCAGCGGTAACGTTAGGCTATCCTGTTTCAGTCTCCGTGAAAGCTTACCTGTCTCTTTGTGCCTACATCAATGTGCAGGTTACCAGGTACGTCTTTGCAGAGCTCGTGTTTCGCACCAGTCTTTCACGTCTACAAACTATTAGTCCTTTTAAAACAGAAAAAAATCATTATAAATATATTTGACCCATTTCCTCATTAACTCTCCTTCCGTGATTTTTACAAAATGAATTCTCCTAAAGTAGGTGGTCTACACTAAACTCGTATTCCTAGTTTAAACGTGAGCTATCCCTTACCTCAGTAATTTCCCTGTTTCTTCAATGACAGCAGTGAGACTGATGTTTCTGTTTCCTGTGTGTACCTTCCTCTGCAAACTGCTTTCTTCCGCCACAGCTCAAAAGAGGAAGAGAGACAGCTCATCCATATTATACTCACCCAAAATAACTAAAATCTATATATTCTCCAGTACACTGCTTAAACATACTGTACATTAGTATCAACACTAGCTTAAATCTACAAAAATATAAAGAGATTTTAAATGTCACTCTCGGGCCAATAATTAGCAATTGCCTCATTGAATGAGGAGAAAAGATGCTGCTCATCCAACTCTACCCAGCTGAATGTTGGCCAGGGGTCAGGATTCATGACGCAGGCCGCAGAATAAAACACTCAGAGAACACAATGCTTGCTTTCCATGCAGGAACAAAAGATTAGAAATACAGGTACAGACAACGTGTATCAGTGTCTCAGTGTTTTCAGCTAACAAAGTGGAACATGGTGTTATTTTAATTGCCACAGGTAGATGTAATTGGATTGTGAAACACAAAATAATACTCTCAGCTAAAATCAAGGACTATCTGTAACAAAAACACATGCGTTCAACAATAATTTGATTTAGGGCTTGGCGGAAAAATGATATTATATCTAATCATAAAAAGAATTTACGTCAATAACAATGATAAGCTCTGGACTGTTTTACTCTATATTGATCCAAGAGCCAATCACACAGAAGAAATGTGCAACAACATGAATCTAAAAGTGTGTTGATATTAAAAATGTAGTGAATTTTCGTCCACCGAAAATTTATCGGATGAAAAAATGTTGTGCCATTTAATGGACCCTCTCATTTTTGTGGCTTCGGTCATTGTTGGGGTACTCTTCTAAATCTGGAATCATTAACAACTGATATCGAAATATATATCGTCATTGTTCAATATGGACAATAATTAGAGATTGCACTTTTGCCATATCACCCAGCCCTAACTTGATTCTACTTCTTTCCTGTAGTGTTTTCCACATTC